TACAATAATGGGAAAAAAAGAGTAAAACTTCACAAGGGAAGAGGGTCAATACCACACAAGAATACTTACCAGGTAAACAATTGAACGAACTTGAGAAGTTGGAGTGAGACTCTGAAGTAAAGTTTAACTCCGTTGAAGGTTTAAAATAAATGTCAATGTTGTCAGCCAGAGAAGAAAGAGTAGAAGCAGAGGTGAGAGAGTGAATAGAGTGAATTTACTATTTTAACCCTACTCGTACAACTCAAGTTCTGTTTGAAGTACACTTTACATTGCTTCTTGTACCTCATTTTGGTTCCCAACATGAGGAAATGTTTCCAAATAATTGCTAAATTATCTTTTCAAACTTCTTCCATGGGTGACCAAGTATGTACATAGTGGAGTTAAAATCATTGTACATTTGTCAAAATTGCCAATATTATGAAAAATAACCCAATACAATGAAAAACAATCAAGGATTGCAACTTGTGAATACAAATCAGAGACTTTACCATGTTTTGAATTACAGCATCTTCCAATTTCATTACATCAATAGCATCGTCTAATATCTCAAATTAGTTGAACAATGAACATCCCAACCTTTTTCTTAGCCCCAAATTTCAAAGCCAAAATAGAAAGCACAATAAAACATAAGAGTTTAATAAATAATATACATTGTCACCTTAAATAAATACCCAATTCCGTTGCTGTATTTTAACCAATTTAAGATTGAAAATGGACTGCTGTTAGCAAAATTGGATAAAATTGACCAAAGAATCTCAACTCAAGATAAATTCATGAGAAAATGGTACCTCTTTCGGTACACAAGTTATTGTTTCTTTTGTTAAGTAAAATGATAATGTGGAGCGAAGGAGAATATCTTTATTTTAATCAAAATAGGTAAACAAAAAGACAAGTCAATCACACTGTTTCCTTCTTTGAATAGCTTAATAGGAAACAATCTCAAGATATTATGAATAGATATTTCTTTTTGTACTGCTAAAGTATTTTAGTATGTATTTTGTTTTACCAGTAAAAAGCTCAACAATTGATGCTATTAAAATTACTGCACTCATAAATTGTAACTTTAAACTTTAACTATATAATAATGAGTATTAGTTTAAGTAAATCAAAGATGAAACAGAGGGAGTAAGTACCATGACTTCTTAAGACCCTTTTTGTCATTAGCCTTGCCTCTAATAGTTTGGGGGTTTTTGGCCATTCTGCTAGCCAATTCATTCTCATGATCAGAAAAGTATAATTGTAAGTTGTTGGGTTTTTCGTTGGAAGCGACTAAATCATCTATGAAATGATACATGAGTCCCTGTTCTCTAAATCTGTACATACCACAATTTCTTTTCACCAATTTTTTTATCGTACTTCACACCAAGCGATGTGTTCAACATATTATTGTATGTTCTAATATATGTTCGAAATGTTTAGATTCTTCTTTTGTATTCAAATTTTTGTGTGCCACAATATGAACAGTTAGGAACCTTTTTTTAGAATCATATTACTCGCTTCGCTGTTCAGTAATAGGTGAAGTAGATATTATTGGAGTATCAATTTAGCACAAACCTTTTGATTGGAACTGTATTTAAGGCCGCATAATGCTGAGTAGACACATCCAACATGCACCCTTATGTGCAAACAATCACAATTTACAATAAAGTGATGATCAATATGCCATACTAAAAAAATATAAGGCAAAGAGCTGGATTACCTGTTTCAAAGATAGTGAATAGGCTGCATACTTGCTTTCCTTTATCTAAATTGCGCAGGAATTGAGTCTGACATCGTGGCTGGCAACTAGTAATCAAAATACATATAACATGTTTAAAGGATGAAGTTAAAATGTAAGTAGGTAAAGTTAGATAAGTTAGGTGTTATACACGTTATTAGAGAAAATAGATTGGCAATGTAAATTAGTAATAATGCAAAATATACAATAATGCGACGATAAATAGGCCATACGAAAACATAATGGAAAGAGCGGGCTTACTTTTTGAGAAATGGGCGAAGGATTGTATACTTTTTCCTTGTTTAACTTGTCTTGGGTTGAGTTGGTCGAACTTGGTGACTTGCAGCTGGCAAACAAAATACAAAAGATGTTTAAAGGCAGACTCGGTTTGTACACATTGGCAGAGGGAACACATTGGCAACATTAAGTTAATAAAAGAGGAAACCTTTCTCAGAGAGCTCCGAAGGTTCTCAGATGATAAGTGCAGCCTGTTTGAAAGGAAACCGTCTCTGTACCAAGATGATGTGGGCTGCGTTGGGGGTGCCAATAGTAGAATTTTCAAGAACATTATGTCTTGTTGAATCTGTTTGCAGATAGCGAGATAGCAGCTATGCCTCCCTAATGCCAAAAAAATTCTACGGTTGACTTTACTGAAAAGGTAATTTAAACTTGAAATTTGAAAAGAGCAAAGACCGGAGAAGTATAACTAAAAAGAGGTGAGATTTACAATTACCAGGACCAGGTGGATGAGATAGATCAGAAGACGTTGGGAGATGTGCGGCAACCTTTTATTCCTTTCTATAAATTCCCACATAAACGATGCTTGCCAATAATGAAACTCCAGCTAGTGCAACTGCTGATGTTACAGCTATTATTTTATCTGTTGAACCTGTAAGACACTAATATCAAAATAGTTTATACACTTAGTCGGTACAGTACTTCCCATCAATAAATTGAATTGAGAGCAAGAAGGGATAATGGAGATATCAACACAAAAGAAAGAGAAGGAAAAATTAATCCACACTTGTGGCAAGCTAGGGAAAATATGGATGACCAAACATGTTAATAATATGCAAGTACGTGTTAAGATATGATGCTCAATGTATAATTACTTCAGATATGAAAACAGGTAGACTATCTACATCCATTTTTTGTATGTGTATATATATATATATATAAACACTTGAGCTACTGATCCATATAGCAAAACAAATTGAGAAGAAGCAAAGACCACCCCAAATAATGTATAGAAAGAGAGAACCAACAACAATATTGACTTAGTTTCTCTCTGAACCTCTAATGCAAGATATTCCATGAGTTGTTGCGTGTTGCAGTCAATCCATGAAACAATAATAGCATATTCTTTACATACGATTACACCTCCCATTTCCGAACTCTGCTAACAATCAGATCATATATATAAAATACTTGAGCTACTAATCCGTATAACAGAACAAACTGAGAAGAAGCATAGATCACCCAAAATAATGTAAAAAAAAGGTAACAACCAACAATGTTGACATACTTTCTATTTGAACCTCCAATGAGAGATCTTTCATGATTTGTTGCATGTCATAGCCAATCCATGAAATAATAATATCATATTTGTTACATGAAGGTACAACTTCCTTTTTCGAACGCAGCTAACAATAATACCATAGATAAAAATACTTGAGCTACTAATCTGTATAATAGAACAAATTGAGAAGAAGCGAAGATCACCCAAAATAATGTATGAAAAGAGAGAATCATTAACAATATTGACTTACTTTCTCTTGGAACCTCCATTGCAAGATCTTCCATGATTTGTTTATCTGCATAAAATAAGTATTCATGGATAAAATTGGATTTACAAATAGAAGATCCATGACAATAGCCACCACATTGTGCCAAGAAAGAAGTACAATGACAATCGATAAATTATATGTATTCAACAATATCCACAAATGAATCGAGCCTAAACTCAATATAAACAATCGTACAATCTCTACAATGTCATCTCGTGTCATATCAATTTCACCTCTAATGACAACTGAACTTTATTGGTTTAATAATATTACTTAGTGAGCTTAATAATAATACAGTAATTGAAATTGGAGGGAAAATGTGTGAATAGAAGCCACCTAACAGTTTTAGATTAAAGAACAGTTAAAACTGAAAAAGATATGCTTAACAAACCATAGAAAATAGAAGAGAAAAAACTTTATAGCTGTAAAACCACAAAAAGAGTAAGCATATTCCAACAATGTCGGTGGAAATCGTGTAATACCAACAGTTTATTTGTGCATTTTTTCTGTTTCCGAAAATCACCATAGAATAATTGAAACAACAGCTGCATTTCTCTATTTTCAGAAATACTCATGCATGAAGCAATAGCGCCTAATTGAATTAACAAATGTCAGAGTATTCATAGAAGTGTAATAAGCTTATTGTAAAATCTTTACCTGGATTGTCGAGCAACATTCCATGTTCCTTCATCTGACAGGGCAATGTAGGACCTTTTCACATTCGATGATACGTTCTTAATTATTTGGAGGTGTGTTGATGTCTTCTCAAATTTCTACTTCCACATATAAAGTGCAACTCCAAGATCAATTGGAATGGAGAATAGTAAGATTTCAGAACTTGGTGCTCGAAATCTAAATCGATGTTTCAACATTTTCTAATAACATATAAGAACAGAGGAATTGTATTACTCTCTAGAATATAGAATCTAGAATATTTTATAAATTCACCAAAGGAGAAGATGCAAGGATAACTGATTAAACAAGGTACCATAATTTAATGTCTCTAAAAAAATTCCTAATTGGATTTTTTAAGGAGTGAAATTTTATTCCTCACCTAACAATAGAGTCACCAACAATACCGTCAAGTAACTTCAATTCATCTCTTGTTTATTCCCACTGAACTGGAAAAAGTCCTTAGGTGCATTTGGAAAACTTTCAATAGTGTGAAAGAGACTTTTATCCCCTTCTTTTTTATTATTTTCCTTCCAAATCAACATCTCTTATAAAAGTTTTAGTCAGAATAGAGAAAGAAAAAGGAAAAACATATTTAAGTTAAGATACTTGGTACTGTAGAACACCATATGATTAACAAACTTAAACTTTAATAAACAGTGTCAATTCACGAGTGAATATCACATCGACAACATTTTTATTTTTTGTAAGTATTACATAGACAATATTCACAACAACTTTTCTTATCAAGTAACAAATTTTGTATTGATAATTGAGCAGATAACAACCATATACACATGTTTATAACATAAACTGAATTCACCTCAAATATAACATCCCTAGAGGATAATAGAACACATTTTACTCCCTCCGTTTCAATTTGTTTGTATTCCTTTTCTTCTTGATTCGTTTAAGAGAATGTCTCTATTTTTTTAGCAACTCTTTATTTTCAACTTTTCATATGACATGTTAAGGACCACAAGATCAAAAGGGCATTTTGACACATCCTATATATTTTTAGTTTAAGACCATAAAATTCAAAAGTCTTTATTACTTCTAAAACATACATAAAACATGAATTTCTCCTTTCACATGATGCAATTAGACAGTGAAAACCGCAGAAAAAATCATATAACATGCATATAGAGCTTTAAAATTCAAAAGTAATGATCAAGATTAGCATATTTGCTGGCCACATGCATATTAAACAAAAAACCATTAAAAATTTCTGAAAATTGAAAGCAGAGGAGTAAATATTATCATACCAAAGATTTTGGAAGTTGCACCTAGCCTAAGTAAATGATAAAGAATGATGAACAGAAGTGGTCATACGTGTGTCTCCTGTAAGTAGCAAATAGAACATGTATTATCAGCTGAATGAAGCCTAAGAATATTTGCAATTACCAAGTAGTACTTGTTTAATGAAATGGTCCCAAATAAAATACAATATACATTACTTTTGGTATAAGTATTTACCTTTAATTTATCAATATAGAAAAAAATGAAGCACATAAATTCAATTTTTTTCTTACAGTCATAGACTTGACACCGTTTGCCATGCCAATGATGAGTAACCATTGTTGGAAAAAATCTCATTTTGTTTAGTCTAACATTTAGGGTTTACGAATGACAATTTTAGTACTTCGCAAAATGGTATGAATGAATGGGAAAAAAAGGAAAGACGAAGAAATCTACATCATACCCAGTTGAATTTTGAGGTCTTCGCTGGATTTTGGCATAAGAATTTTTCCATTGTACCCTCTTATAATAGGACCCATCAATACAAAATTGAGATGGTCTACAGTCGCCGAAGAAAAAGTGGATTCGACATTCAAATTTTGTCCATGCAATACCAACAAATTGGAGCAGCAAAAATTGAAAGCAATATCAAACAATCAACAAAACAGGACAAAGTTTAATTAACACTCCTGGAAGAAGATGATGAGAAAGCAATGAGAGCAAAAAAGTAAAGTGAAAGAGAAAATAGGATAGAAAGTTGGAGAAGATAAAAATGGAAGAAGAGAGATTGCAGGGGGAGAAAGAACTTTGAGGGTCCTTAGGCATACGCGTCGTTTTGCTAGGTTAAAGAAGCATATACACGTGTTAAAGCTGAATGAAGCCTAAGAATATTTGCAATTACCAAGTAGTACTTGTTTAATGAAATGGTCCCAAATAAAATACAATATACATTACTTTTGGTATAAGTATTTACCTTTAATTTATCAATATAGAAAAAAATGAAGCACATAAATTCAATTTTTTTCTTACAGTCATAGACTTGACACCGTTTGCCATGCCAATGATGAGTAACCATTGTTGGAAAAAATCTCATTTTGTTTAGTCTAACATTTAGGGTTTACGAATGACAATTTTAGTACTTCGCAAAATGGTATGAATGAATGGGAAAAAAAGGAAAGACGAAGAAATCTACATCATACCCAGTTGAATTTTGAGGTCTTCGCTGGATTTTGGCATAAGAATTTTTCCATTGTACCCTCTTATAATAGGACCCATCAATACAAAATTGAGATGGTCTACAGTCGACGAAGAAAAAGTGGATTCGACATTCAAATTTTGTCCATGCAATATACCAACAAATTCGAGCAGCAAAAATTGAAAGCAATATCAAACAATCAACAAAACAGGACAAAGTTTAATTAACACTCCCGGAAGAAGATGATGAGAAAGCAATGAGAGCAAAAAAGTAAAGTGAAAGAGAAAATAGGATAGAAAGTTGGAGAAGATAAAAATGGAAGAAGAGAGATTGCAGGGGGAGAAAGAACTTTGAGGGTCCTTAGGCATACGCGTCGTTTTGCTAGGTTAAAGAAGCATATACACGTGTTAAAGAAGAAAACCCTCAAAAGAAACCTCAAAAGAAAAAGTGATCAGTAACCAATGAAATAGGTACACATTTATAGTACCACTGAAATAACCTTGTGTACAATCACTAATTGACTTTGATGAGGATGAACAGTGCACTAATTAATTGTACAATGAATAATTTAATTTTTACTGTATAAGTGGGGTTCATATTATTATTACTTGAGTGTTTATGATTTCCAAAGCAAACCACACGTACCCCTAAATTTTGGTTTGATAGAGCTACTTTCAGTTCTTTCCACGTGGGTATAAAGTGAATATAGCCAATAAAGTTGGGCCAGACAAAGCAAAAATTTAAAGGTTGCAGGGTACATTTTAGACTCCTATTTGTACTACTATATGATGTTGTGTTCGTCTCAATAGTCCTTTAAAAGTGTCACTTCTAAATAAGAGTAATGTTTAAGATGATTGTTGCATATATGTATATATTTATTAATATTATATTAGGTAGAAAGAATAATAAATTGCCCCTTAAATTTGTAGGTTGCATAGGTGCACAGTATCATTTTGTGTACCCTAAATTCCTTACCATTGATGGCTATTAGTGGAATAATGGTTTGCCAATGATTGTCCTTTCTAGAATTAATCATTGGAGAATTCACATTGTTACATTATAAATTAAGAATTAAATGGTTCTTGGAAAAAAAGTAACGCTGTTACTGTATTACTTTGGTGGGTTATAAATTGGTGAGGACAAATGTGTGGTTGGCATTAGAGAAGGCAATAATAGATAAAAGCATAAAGTTATGTGATGGAAATATTGGATGGAAAATTAAGGGGAATGGCTGTATGTGGTTAAAGTGGTCCGTGAGTCTGTTTTGAAAAATTTAAGGCAAGTGTGGGGGGTTAAATGAATAGGTATATGTGGGCCAATGATTGGCCATAATGAGCCAATCATTGGTTGGAACAAAGAGTGTCCAAAACAAGGAAAATATCAATTCTTCCGGTTACTGTTCCTAAGTCAGTCAGGTGTAAATTTATATTTTTGGTTATTATATTATGATTCAAGTTTTGATATATTGGTACGTGTAATTAAATATTAGATGTGTGGTATTTTGTGAGTATCATTCGAATTATGATATTGAAAAAATTGGGAGTTAATCCTAGACTTGAAACTTGGCAAATATGATAGTTGAAATGTTAATTGGCATCAAGAATTACGAACTTGATTATAAATTTGGGTGAATTTTTAGGTCAAGGCTAAACAAATAATAATGTGGGTGTTGTTAGTTCCGAAATCTTATTGTGAATATATACTTGAATAGATTGCATCGATTTGGAAGCTCAACGGAAAGGGAAGGCTCAAGTCTCAGAGTGATTATTCGATTGACTGAGGCAAGTGGAATTCTAAACCCTTGTTAAGTGTATGGAATTCGTGTATTTCCTTGTGGTTTATGTTTGGGAGTAATGGGAATTGGTGATGGGTTGACTTGTCCATGTTGAATAATTCTAATGATGGAAAAAGGGTAATAAAAATGTAATGTGATTAATTATAGATGTTGTATCACGGTTGTATTGTTGTGAATTGTGCATTGATATTAAAATGGTCATCTCCTCATTATTTGTGTGAACATGTCATTTGCATTGGTTCTGAGACATGGTTGTGATAAGAGGATGTACCATTTCAAGGGACGTATCTCGCGCCGCGATGGATACTATATTTCGAGGGACATATAGCGCGCCGCGATGGATACTATATATCGAGGGTCGTATCGCACGCCACGATGGATGCATGGATAGATGTCCCCCATGGGTCCTAGACTGAGAGACAACGGGTGTGTATCGTTAGGTCAGACATGCATCACTATACTTGACATTGCATTTCATTGCATTCACATTTTTATCATTGATGAACTTGATCTTGTGAGTGCCTTTCTGTGAATATTGAGTTGTTATTGAGAATATGTAATCAGTTAGAGTGTTGTTGTTGAGTTGTGTGCTTTGTAAACTGTGAACTGTTAGGTTGAGCTGGTTTTATGCAGGTTGTAGTTGTGGAGGTTCGGATAGGGTGTAAGGAATATTTGTATTATGTTCCCTTAGCTTGTGTTTAGAGGTTTGCTTGTTGAGTACCGTGTGGTTTGGTACTCACCCCTTGCTTCTACATTTTTGTAGGTTACGAGTCAGGATCTTCATGATACCTTCTATTCTCTTCGTTTCCGAGGCTTTCTGTGGAGATTTGTGAGGTAGTTGTTTGTCTTCTCAGCGAACCTTCTTACTCATGTTTATGATTTTGTTTTACTTGAAAGACAACGTCATTTGAGACTTGCGTATTTTATTTCAATTCTAGTATTTACACTAGTGGATTGTACACGTGACAACCAGGTTTTGGAGATTGAATTAAGTTGAATTGTTATTTGTATTAGTAATTGTTATTGGACTTTTGTTTTATTTCCGCACTTTATTAGATGATTGGGTTGTAGGCTAATTTGTCTTGGTGGGATAAGACGAGTGCCATCACATCCATTTTTGGGTCGTGACACTTCCACAAGTTTTACAATATATGAATTTGACCCTCCAACAATAATTGGAACATGTTGAGTCTTCAAAAAAAATTCTACGTAGACAATAGCTTGCAAACAAAAATCTTCAACTCTGAAGTCGGAATCTTGATCAATTTCACCTAAGAAAATGTCATCAAATTAACTTTCTCAAAATGGGAATAAATAATTTTTTAAGAGTAAAGTATATTTTCAACTAGAATCTACAATTACTACCATTAAATTATCTAGGTAGTCATTTGATATAAATATTATTGGAAATAAATATATATACCTAACAAATAGTGTCGTATACCTTGTTTCTCGGTGTGTGTGATCTTGTTTGTAACAATTTCAAGTCCCTTATATACTTGCATTTTGTCCGAGTTGATTATTTCTCCTTGAAAATGGGTGGCAAGGTCAACAGAGAGACAGGATTTTCCCGTTCCTATTGCTCCCATTACGAACACCACTTTCTTCTTGTTGAACTTGTTATTGTTGATGAAAGTATTCATTTTAGCTACACATAAAATAAAATAAAAATAATAATTAGTTTACAATAGTAAATAATCTCAAGAAAACCACTCATGCACACAGTCAAACATTAAAACATCTTGTAAATATAAAGTTAATAAGTAGAAACCTTGCTTGAGATGAAATATACTATGTAAAAAAAAAATACTTGATGGTGGCTATGAAAGAAATTGCATTCAGCTTTTATAGTAAAATCTGTTTGTGGACTTATTAATTGACATACCATATTCAGAATTACTGATATCTTTTAGGATAAGAATGACTTTTGAAAAAATTATAGATATGTCAACTAGAATTTTGGTAATTATTATTAAATATATTTTAGGATAAAGTTATTAGATGCACATTGTTAGGAGATCACATACAATTGGGCTTTTATAGTAAAAATGTGATTATAAAATTATTAATTGGTATACCAAATTGAAGTGTATATATATATATATATATATAAAATTAATATCTTTTTGGGTAAGAATAGTTCTTGAAAAAATATACAGCTATGTCACCTTGAATTTGGTGATTAAGCTTAAATAATTTTAGGATGACGTTTCTAGATGTACATTGTTATGAGATCACATACAGAATTGACGAAAAGATCGATACAAAGGATTGTAAAAAAGAACTCAATAATATATCTGACGGAATATATTCAAGTGATAATGCGTCAATTCTTAGACTATTTAACAACACGTCATAAGTGTTAAAATCTAAATTCCATTAGAGGGGAGGAAACAATTATCGATAACCATTTCAATTACGAGTATTTATATTAACTTGTGCAGCATATAATAATAGATAAAGATTTTATTGAATCAAGCTTCCATTACCCTGATTGAATTAGGTAAAATATATTTCCTTAAATGTTCATTACCGATAGATTGCAAATTTACTATTTTCTCTTCTTTGTCTATGTATCAATTTTAAATTTTGAGTTAAGAATTCTATTCTTTCAAATTCTTTTCGGGTAGAATCTTCCCGAATATTTATGGTCATTTATTTTCTCACTCTATTACCTTGACATTATGAATGTGTCACGACTCGAATCTACACCCTGGACGTGGCCGGCACTCAAGAACCATTGTTGGTCCCCAAGCAAACCCTCATCCTGGCTGACTACAAGCGAAAAACTGATTCAAGAATACAAAGCTTAAAAACTGAAATAAGAGTTCACAAAACGTAAATACAAAGAAAACTCTGTATAATAAAAT